ACAAAAACAAAAACAAAAACAAAAAAACAAAACAAAAAAACAATCGAACAAAGAGAATAAAAATGTACTGAGGGAAAGACGGAAAGAAAAAGAAATGGCGAAAAGTACGTGAAAATAAGTAAGGGAATATAATAAAAAAAAGAGAAAGAAGAAGAAGAAGAAGAAGAAGAAGAAGAAGAAAATAAATCGAGTCAATCTTTGATTCCCTTTATCATCACTTGTAAGCTCAGACATTGCCAAGGGCAACCCATGTGTAGTCCTTTTTGAATCTAATATTTCAATTTAGTTTTTTTTAGTCTTTTTAATTCTCGATAAAAGATGATATCTTTTAGATTCAAATTTCCTTCAATAACTCATGATAAAAATAGCTTGAGACTTAAGTTGATAAAATTCAGGTGTTCAAACATCTGTTTGCATTTGCTGTAAATAGAACAAAGCAAGGATGGTAAGCGCGCTCCCAGTATCAGGAACTAGACTGAGGTCCATATTTGAACSCCAAGTGATGTCACACTCCATTTTTCTTTAATCCATACAGCGTTAAATGTAAAAACCTTAAACGGAGCACCGATATAGGGAAATGAGTAAAGTGCGCACTGTATGCTCTTCGGTGTGTTTCCCTAAATCACCTTGGCATGCCATTCTATGGTTATATCGATAAAGTTCATTAATAATTCCATGCTCCAGTCCATGCAATCAGGCACGTTTCATAAAACAAAACTTGTGAAGAAGAACTTCAAGAGCTCTTCGTATCACAGATTYGCTTCAAACAGCGTTTCTTATAACTGACGCACAGAACTACGCAACCAAATCATTAAAATAATAATTATATATAAAGTCAAGGGTAGACCATGRATAATAACATCAGATATATAGTTTTATTATTTACGATGATATAAAATATACAACTTTCATGAAATGTTGGACCCTGTTTAAAATCAGAATAAAGTTTTTTWAAAAATATCTTKATTTTATTGATATTCGATATTATACATTAATATTATATCTTAGTTACTTTTCTTAGTTATATATTCACGACCGTCATGTAAACCAGTTTTTCTGTTGGCATTATCGTGTATAAATAAAGGAAAATTGATTGATTGATTAAATAAACATTCTTTACTGGTTTGGTCAACCACTTCAACAAGCGCAATTATTCGCAAAGTCCATCATGTCCTTCGTCTTCTAGTGCATTCCAGCCCAGACGCCCGTGAGGATGATCATGCATGACAAATGCTGTCAAAGGACTTTTTCAACTCATATATTTCCCCACAATTTAAGCGATCCAAAAACAGAACGCTGAAGTATGCCCGTGCTGTTTATTGACGTACAAAAATTTACTGCGCGCTGCAGAACTACACGTGCTTAATGGCGCGAAACGCAAATGAAAATCCTGCTAGAGAAACGAGCCGACCTTTCGCGACTTCAACGCTCGCTTCTTTTTCTAGCTCGTTCGTAACTCTATGGGTCGGATGAGGTCGGCTTGAAGCAAAGTTAGTCTTTCCTTAACATTGCATCGCAATCTCCTTAATCTGATTTCGGGATCTAAAGCAATTAACATAAATTTTGGACATCATTGAATTTATATATCTTGCACGCTCACGTGCGCTTATTGCATGCAAATTGTAATGATGAAAAGGTAAATTGTACACCGTGTTACTCCGACGAAGGACTAGCGTCCGAAACGTCAGTAAGTTTTTTCATCTTTTCACGGTGTATAATTTACCTTTTCATCATTACTGTTTCATTAGAAACACCGACGCAGCTCACACTAGTTTTTAGCTAGTTATATCTTTGCATGCAAATTGGTTAATTTTATAAGATATTAACTGTCTACCTGTGTTAAACAAAATAAAGAGACAACATATATATGAATACATTTATTTATTAATAATGAAGACAATGGTGAAGAGGAAGGAGAACGTTCTCACGAACATCTGATATATATATATTTATAAATATTTAGGAACATTATAGATCAATGTATCTGTACAGTCAGCCATAGTTATAAGAAATCTATACACGTTTTTTTTACTGGAACGATCGATACATAAGCATGGATCACTTAACAAAACAAATCGTGTTTCATCGCATTAGTTGCAAAATCTTCCGATTCGTTGGTTCCTGTTTACCTACCAAAATGTTAGCTTACGAAACTTAATCGTTTGTTGATTGGTGCGACGTGCCTAGCCAGTATGGGTTACAAAGAAAAGGTTACTATTTCCGATCGTCTTATGTCGTAACTCTGTGCTGGATAGCGATATGAGTTCAGTCAGTATTGATGTCGATCATGATGTAAGAAAAAAACCTTTGTMATGCCGCGGCTTTAGTTTATGATACTACGTTAATACGTGTCAGTCTTGGTAGTTAAAGGCATGAATAACATAATATTTTTTCAAAGCACTTTCTTGAAGCCACTTTTGCCATATCTACGCCAACGTAAATACGTAGCGCAATCTTCAGTTACGTTCACAGTTTACTGTTTTTTCATTAGCATTTTCAGATCAGATTGTTTTATTAATTTTTAATTCAAACCTCTTGATCAGGACTATTCCCAATTAGCTTTGTTTAAATTCTTTTCCTTCTAGGTCGTACTCTTGAAGTTTGTAATATATTATTCACAAAAGATCACGTTCGAGGACTAGTTCTTTTGGAGTATTCACATTTATTCGACGCTGTCCATTATGATAATAAACTTAATAGTACAGCATCCAAGGAGCTCTTTAACTTTAATGCCACTTGTCCATTTATTTTTTCCCCATAAATCTTACTCCATTTGCTAAACTAGATATGTTATCACTAAATTCACTTGGTGTAATGAATTCAGCCATTAGGAGACTCTGACACTCAGTGTTATCTATCCAAAAAAGTGTAGCCACGACTGAACTTCGGCGCCTCTACTTTTGTTGGATCCTCTGATCTCTTCTTCCCTACAATTCAGCCTCTTACACTGCTCTCTTTTTCTCTCGAGGTAGTTTTTAATTCCTATTTCTGGCGGAATATTTTGGTCAAAATCTTTCACGAAATCTCGAGGAAAGAAATCACCAAAACCTTGGAATTTCGTAGCGTCTTGTAGAGGTTGTTTTAGACCACCTGCCTTGATGTGGCTGCTGTTACTAGAATGATTTGCTGGCTGCTTGGTACCGGCTTTTGGAAAATAACTGGCTGTATCGAATTGGCTTTTGCTCTTGCAKCTAGCGCTTTTAACTTGATTTTCGTTTTCCCATTCAGAAAACTGAGTGAGCTCGCTCACTGAAGATTGAATTTCTTCTCTGTAATTGTCCTGGTCTTCTCTTTGAAATTCTCTTCCATCTTCTTGCATTTCAACGATGGTAGGAAGAACTCTGAGGATCTTTTGCTTTTTACCAACCAGTCGAAGAGATCCAGATTTTGAAATATTCAAAGAAAAGCACTGAACATTAACGTTCTGTTGATTTGTGGCCAAAGTGAAGCGACACATTTTGAGCGAGCTGTAGTTTACGTAGTCTTGTATCTTAGTATAATGATACTGATGCTCCCCACACAGGCTTTTATATGTGTCTCTTTGTTTATCACTATATCGTGCACGTTGTGGTTGTCATGGTTTGTCCAATGACGAAGGTTTAAGTTTACTGATTACTCGACAGGCAATTTCTATGGCAATGAATAAT